TAAAATAACAAGTGTTATGTGTAAAAAGGTAAAGATATAAATCAACATTATATAATCAAATTTAATTTTTATGACCTATACAAAAAGCAAAGCAAATATCAACTTTGTAATAGTATACATATACACACACATTAGGAACAATGCATACTTAATTTTAATTGAATCAGGGTTAAAAGAAGTAAACCTGCAGTCCCAATAAATTTAAAATCTGAAAAACCCTAAATAAATAGGGCCGGATTAATTGGAACTCAAAGAAGTGTAATGGGTTCGAATCCATTTGGGTCCATCAGGTGTTGACCCAGGCCATTGATAGCCCTATACATATTTGGTCATCATAAGATGGTGCTATCATTCCTATCCAAATACTACTAAGTACTGACCACATCATCAATTAATGATGCATGGGGTCATCGTGATAAGTCACCCGGAGAGCATGGCATCCATCTGCACATTGGGAGTATCTTATGTACATATGTATTAAATTCATGGGGAGATGTTTTAGCTATACAAATGGATGCCATGCTCTCAGAATGTTTGCATAATTTTTTGTTTTCAAGAAACCCTATTTCCAAATTTTCATTGTCTTTCCTTTTCTTTCATTTTTTGGGATAAAATGATTTAGTACAGTTAGGCATGTAGAAAGTAGGTAAGGATGGCCCTTTTCAATGGTCTAACTATAATAGATATGCAATAAAAGCTGAATGCAATCTCTGGTATTTACAGGCAGTCTTACTAAAGCGTATGGCCCTTTTCATGACAGCTCTATACTCTTGTGGCAGATAACCTTTTCCTTTTCCATAGCTGTAATTTGCTCTTTTCATCAAGGTTTTTAAAATTAAACCGGACAATGAATCAGTCAGAGGTCTAGTTCTTGGGTCAAACGGTCCGACCGTTTGAATCGAACAAATAGTCCATTCTTAAAAAAATAAAAAAATAAAAAATGGTCAAACTGTTAAATAGTTTGATCACCCGAATTAACGGTTTTCTGATCAAATCAACGGTTTTGGAGGAAATAATAGTTCTGGGATAAAACGGAACTGATCACCTGACCGATTTCCGGTTTTTCCGATCTGACCGTCCAATCCAATCCAGTTTTAGAAACTATGATTTTCACACCGCTCTAAGTAGTCCTTTCTGTAAAAGCTCTCACTAAGCTTTAGGTTATTTGCTTTGCTCTAAATAGCCATTTTCATAATAGTTTTTACACTGCTCTAAGTAATCATTTCTGCACTAAACTTTAGGTAGGCTTTTCTATAATTCAAACCTGAGATGTGGTGGTAGGCTCTGATACCAATTGTTACATGTATGACTAACAGACTAATATGAAAATTAAAAACATATATCACTGCTTCACTTGTCCTATGTAGACCTAGTGGTGCTAAGTTCACTACTGAAATATTGTGGTTTGAGTTGAATTTGTGCCAAAACATATATTGCAATATTGTCTCCCCCATTATTATTCATATATAATTTTAGTAGGTGTTTTATAATACGAATTGTTTTTCTTGTCGGTTCCAAGCACAAATCACAATTATCTGTTTTGAAAATAGATTGTTTTTTAAAGCAAAAACATGAAAAAACATGTTCTTGGTTGTGTGTGTTTCAAAATTGAAATAAAAACAAATATGTTCTTGAATCTGGTTTTAAAAACATGTTTCCATCTAATTATTTAATATCGTATTCCATAAATCATATACTTTTATACTAGAAAGTTTGTTTTTATTTTTAAAACTATTATTTTGTTGGTTCTAAAAGCATATATTGCTTTTTGAAACAAAACCAACCTATTTTTTTCATTTGAAAACAAAAACAGAGTTCAAAAACATGTTTTTTGTTTTTATTTTTTATTTTTTGCTGATACAAATGAAAAAAAAAATGCTCATGTTGAATACCTCCTTAAATTATTCATTTTTATCAAATTCAAGGACAATGTTGGCGAAACATGTCTCAATATTCAAATCAATAGTTTTATTCTATTTCTCTTTGTTTTAGATATCATGTATGTTTGCGTTGGTATTAGATCACTGTAATTTCTTATAATCGATATTCTCTTGTTGGGTTGGTATTAATACATCTTATAAGCTTTTTTTTATTTGGTTTCATTTTGATTATTTAGAACTATTGGATTTCGTATTTTTATTATTTAATTAAGCTGAGTTACTATTCTTAATTATTACCAATAGTGAGCTTGGTGTTTGAAGTAGAAGTTAGTTGAATAGGACTCTTTCAAATATTTGTTATTATTTAATTAATATACTGAAAGACAAAATTATAAATCATTCAGTTCAGCCACTTCAACCATTATCAAATGTTCCCTATGATGAACATACATCTTATTTCACTATTTGGGTGGACAAATCACAAAAATAAGAAACTAGATAGAGATGCCTAAACATGCATAACTAAAAGAAGAAAAGCATCTTAAGCAGTAGATCGGCAAATTAATTATAATTACTTTACTTAAACAAGAAAAATCTAGATATTGATACAATTCTGCAAATATTCCATTAAAAATTAATCTATAATAATAATAATAATAATGTGTGGCTGTTAATCATGGGGAGGCAATTCCTTAGGCTGTGTTTGGTTGCAGTGCAAATTTATTTGCAGTAGCATAAATGCATGGGAGTGCAAATGTAAAAAATGCAAATTTTTGTTTAATTTTGTTTTGGATTTTATTTTATTCTGCTTCATGTTTTAATTTACTTCATTTGTATTAAAATCAAACAAAATAAACTAAAATTTGAAATAAAAATAGGTCAGAATTTACACTCAAATCGTTTGCACTGCCATGATTTTACATCAATTAAAATTTATTTGCATTACAACCAAACACATTAGTGAAAGAATAGTATAGGGAGCAAAAGGTTTCACCTGATATGCATCATTTTCCTCTATCTATCATTCTAAACAGTCTTTTTTCATTTGGAATCGTAGTTTGTTTCTTTCTTTTCTTTTAATTAATTTGTTCTTTTTTTTTAAGTTCCTGTTTGTAAAAGTGAATGAGGCAAAGGTATTATTACTAGTCTGGAAGGTTCTCTTGGGCGTATTGAGTGAATCAATACCCTATATTGCAACCGGTTTAGGTCTCCTCTATCCCCTGGACCAGTCAGATCCCCGATACACCCATTGTAGGGGCATATCGGAGGGGTGCCAGAACGATACGTATCAGCCGCTATGGGCCAATACGTGTCGATACTTTGAACCTTGCTTAGAATTATATATAAAACTGTTTCAACTATAAATAGAATCAAACAACAGTTGTATGTCAATTTGTATTTGATCAATTAACCCATTACTTTTAAAGTAGAAACAACAATGGTACCTGATGAGGTATAATTTGGCACGACCTAGTAAATAAGTCATGTGGATGCGATCTACCTGTAGAATGACAACTCAGAAAGATGAGCCTAGTCAGCAATATGCGGAGCTCGGCATAAAGTCACTTCGGCATAAGGTCGCCTTGGCGTAATACCACCTCGGCAGCTAATCAAGTTCGGGGCCTGGGAACTGAAGTGACGCGTAATAAATCCTAATAGCTTCCCAGCAAACTTCGAATATTACGGGATCATACCGCATAACGGCAAGCCTTATCTTCTCCCCGTCCGAATTGGGTGGCGTTAATGAGGTTCATTGACTGATACGTTATTCCCCGACTAAAGCGGAAATGGATCTCGTCCATTCAGGCCGTAGATCTCGGAACTGTTTCGGGAAACCCACATAACTCAACTATATAAAGGCATCAATCCCAGTCCAAGTACGTGTGATTACTTGCATCCAAGCTCTCTAGCACTCAAATTCTAGCTCGCAATCACGACACAATACTGACTTAAGCATCGGAGTGACTTCGCCGAGTTAACCGCCCCAGGTGCTCTAATCCTCTGTCTTGCAGTTTGGTCCAACTCGCTACACGACTAAGGTCCAGGTCATCTTCTAACTAGGAGATTTCAGATCGCACATCATCAATACCAAACACACTGATTCACCAAATTAACTCAAGAATTTAGTTTGATTTAGAGTAGAAACAGCACTCTCAATTTGTATTTGATTAATTCATTACTTTGAAAGTAGAAACAGCAGTGTCAATTTGTATTTGATTAATTCATTACTTTTAAAGTAGAAACAGCAATGTTACCAAAGACAATTAAGTGTGCTACCATATCCGGACACACCAAATTAGCTCAAGAATTTAGTTTCTGACCTGGAGTGAAAGTTTTATTGAAAATTTGACAAAAGCCGTGATCCAAAATGAAGTTTAACAAAAGAAATTGGAAAGCATGCATCACTTAAACAGTAAATATTTATTTCCATTAATTAATTTTTTTCACCCCTTACTTTCTTCTAATTATTATTATTTAATTAGTTTTCCGTTTTACAAAATTTTAATTCTTCATGAATAAACACAGACAAAAGACATTAAAAAACTGGAGAGAAGAAATGCACGGATAAATGGAAGAGAAATTAAAGAAAAAGCAATTTGTCAAGGAAAGTAAAAGCATTTTCTATACAAAAAATAGAGTATGTCCCTAGAGAATACTGCTTTTATATTAGGTAGCAATCGTTTTCTTTTCTGAAAAAGCAAATTTGCATGGATTTTCTTTTCTTTTTTTTTTTGTGGGATGGGGGTTGGGGGGAGGTTCTATTAGGTAGCAATCGTTTGCTTTATTTATTGTCTAAGAATGGTGATTCTTTTTAAAGCACCAATGTCCCCCCCCAAAAAAAAAAGAAAAAGGAGAGAATAAACGCTCATTCAATGTTTTTTTTCCTGGTAATCGTGAAAATCTTTATTTCGGCTGTGATCTCCCTTTTTTGAATTTTGTACCAATTTTACATGGTATCAGAGTCATTCTGAGATTCTGTATTTCGTTCTTCCATCTAGCTTTCTTGCGATGGAATTGAATCATGATTCACCCTATTTCCTGCATACCTCAGATAATCTAGAAACTTTGTTGGTATCTTGCCTTTTCAATGGAGACAACTACCCGACCTGACAGTGTGCGATGAGAAATGCCTTGAGAGCCAAGAACAAGTATTGCTTTGTTGATGGTTCACTGCCAAAACCAGATGCAAGGTCACCGCAAGAATCACTTTGGATCAAATGCAATTCAATGGTGACTTTGGCATGTGAACTCCATGATAGTGTTGTCTACGCAGACACAACCAGTGAAATATGGAAAGATCTTGAAGAGAGGTTCTTGCAGAAGAATGCACCAATAACCTACCAACTCAAAAAGAACCTTACAACATCGCAGCAAGGAAATCTTTCGGTAGTAGCCTACTTCACCAAATTGAAAGCCCTATGGAACGAGCTCCAACCACTGATTCATGTACCCGAGTGCACTTGTAGAGTGGCTAAACAATTTGTGACCATGCGAGAAGACAAGAAACTGCATCAGTTTCTCATGAGATTTGGTGATGTCTTCAACAATGTTAGATCCGATATTCTTAGATTGGATCCTTTTTCAAACATCAATAGGGCATACGCTCTAACAGTCCAGGAAGAGAAACACCTTGCCATTGTCAATACACCGATCAATGTAGATCTTTATGTCAGAGCAGCACTCTTTGCAAATTTTTCCAAGAACCGTTCGGTGTCTAATACCCAGACCAAGCCTAAGATGAAATGTGAGCACTGCAAGAAACCTGGGCATACACGAGACTGCTGTTTTGAGCTTCCTAGATATCCATTGAACTGAAACAAAGGTAAACACAAGCAAATGGCAAAGGAACAAAAGCTGCATTTGCTTCAGTCAGTACACAGAATATTGAAGCATCTCCCATACAGGGATTAAGCCTGGAGCAATATAATTGGTTTATGACACTCGTAACAACAAATAACATCACAGCCAATGCCTATGGTAAGGTTCTTGATAAATCTCCCCACCAACCTTCTTGGATCTTGGATAGCGGAGTTTTAGATCATATGATCTCTGATCTGAAATTCCTTACTATTCATAAAGTGTTGTTCCAACCTAAGCCAGTTCGCTTGCCCAATGGAGTGGTTTTGCAAGCAACACATCAAGGGCCGGTTATGCTGACCCCCGATATTACTCTTCATGAGGTTCTCCATATACCTGGTTTCCATTGCAATTTGATCTCTATTAACAAATTAACTGATCAATTGCAATGCACCGCCCTTTTTTGCCAACTACTTGTGTGATTCAGGACCTAGTGTCAAAGAAAGTGATTGGCACATGTGAAGCATTGAAACGAATCTACCACTTCACTGTTGACGATAGTCCATATTCCTCTGCTTTGGCTGCCCACGGTGAAGTCACTGCTGACATATGGCACAAACGCCTAGGTCATGCTTCTTAGCACTCTCTTTCATTAGTTCCTGGCATCTTCACTCTTCCTGCAGGATTGCCATGTGAAACTTGTCATCGTGCAAAGCAATCATGCATTTCATTTCCTATAAGTAGCTTTCAAGCAACGGGACTATTTCATCTAGTCCATGTTGACATCTGGGGCGGTTATTCTACTCCTTCTCATAGTGGTGCACAATACTTTCTCACCATAGTGGATGACTTTTCCCGTAGCACTTGGTTGTATTTGATGCACAGTAAAACTCAAGTTCTTTATTATCTTTCTCAGTTCTGCAATATGGTCGAAACACAGTTTTAATGTTCTGTACGAGTCACGTGGACAGATAATGGATTGGAGTTTTTTTCATATCCCATGAAGAGTTTTTTGTTACAACAAGAAATTGTTCATCAACATTCTTGCGTTGATACACCGCAACAAAATGGTGTGGTCGAACGCAAGCACAGACACTTGCTTGAGATAGCCCGAGCACTTCACTTTTAGGTAGGACTTACTCTTTCCTTTTGGGGAGAGTGTGTAACCATAACAGAATATTTGATCAATTTATCTTCCAACTCAAGTACTCGGTGGGAAGACTCATTTCCAATTGTTGTTTAATCAACCACCGCCATACGATTATATTCGCGTACTTAGCTGCCTGGTCTATGATAGAAACCACAGTTGTACTCGCGACAAGTTTATTGCTTGAGCAATTAGAGGAGTGTTTGTTAGATATCCATTTGGGCAAAAGGCTTACAAAATCTTTGATCTGGATTCCTGACAAATCTTCACCTGACATGATGTTGTCTTCTATGAAAATCATTTCCCTTTCATGCTGAATGAGTCAACACATGTCACAAATCGGGGCTCGGTTATACCATTACCCACTTCTGACAACATTAATTGCCTTCTACATGATGAGCAAACCATTCAGCCCAGCCCGACTCAGACTAACTCGGTTCAGCCTGATCTAGTTTGCCCTAACTAATGTAACTCTAGCATAACTAACATAACTTAACCTCATGGACAATGAAAAACTCTGGAATAATTAAGGAATTATGATTGTTAGTTCTCTGGATACTCAACTAACTTTCTTCATCATGCGGGCACCCTAACTGAGCCACGCACACACAATCAAGCAGTTCTTGATCCACGGTGGTGGAAAGCTATGGAAGATGAACTTTCAGCATTAAAACAAAATAACACATGGACTCTCGTTGAACTTTCATTAGGAAAATGAGTCATTGGTGTATGATGGGTGTACAAAATTAAGTATCGAGTTGATCGAATAGTTGAACGTTATAAGGTGAGACTTGTGGCTAAGGGGTACACTCGGGTCGAGGGCTTGAACTTCCATGACACATACACATTGGTGGCCAAACTAGTTACAGTCAGGTGCCTTTTGTCAGTTGTTGCCATTCAAGGATGGACTCTTCACCAACTCGATGCTAACAATGCTTTTCTGAATGGAGATCTCCATGACGAAGTCTACATGGAAATTCTACCAGGACTTTCTAATCCTGGTGACAACCGAGTGTGTAAACTAAACAAATCCCTTTATGGTCTATGGCAAGCCTCTCGATAGTGGTTTAAGAAATTTTCAGACACCCTCAAGCAATAAGGCCCCACTCAGTCATTAAATGGCTACTCGCTTCTCTTCTCCTCCAATTCAGGTTCATACATTGTCGTCCTTGTTTACGTCGATGATTTGGTCATCACTGGTAGCAATCTTGATCAAATTAATGATCTAAAACAATACCTAAACAAGTTTTTCCGTCTCAAAGATTCGGAACCACTTACTTATTTCTTGGAGATTTAGGTTCATCACTCTTCATCTGGGATTTTTTTACATCAACGAAAGTACCTACTTGACATACCACATGAAGCCGATATGACTAGTTGTCACCCAGCATCATTTCCAATGGAACAACAACTACGGTTTGATGAACAAACTCCCTTCCATACCCTAGTCATTTCCATCGTCTCATTGGCCGACTAGTGTATTTAACCATTACACGACTAAAGCTTTGTTACTCTATTCACGCCGACTAGTGTATTTAACCATTTCCATCGTCTCAACATTTCTATCACTCAACCATTATTGCTTCACTGTGATAATTAAGTGGCCCTTCATATAGCAGCAAATCCAGTTTTTTCACAAATGGACGAAGCATATAGCAATTGATTGTCACTTCCTACATGAGCATGTTTAAGCCAAGACAATCAAGACCTCTCACCTTCCAACAGAGGAACAACCAGCTGACTTGTTCACCAAAGCCTTAGGAGCTGGATTTCATTATCTACTTGGCAAGTTGGGTATTCGTTCCCTTCATGCCCAACTTGATGGGAGGTGTTAACAAAACAAGATTCTGTTGTGAAATTTCCAAAAAGCCAGACTGGCAACCCAAAGACGTCCACCACATGATATTTGTATTGACTCATCGCAACTGCACTAACCTCATCGCATATATATAAATACATGTCGTCATTCGACGAGTCAATCATCTAATGAGACAATTCTCAATTCGTTTGTTTTTGTCATGATCTCCCTCTTTTGAATTTTGTACCAATTGTACAATATCTCAATTGATCAATCAACTGCAAAACAGTTCGACTCCACAGTGACAATCCTGATACCTTTATACATCACTATTTTGATTTTTGAGAGCTTAAAAAATAGCCAACACTTCAGCTACAAGATGGGATGTAGAAGTGCAAGAGCCACATCCAGCCCACCGAAAATACCTTAAGTCCCTACTCCTTGGCCAAAAAACCTGAAAGATGCCTTATTTGGATATACAAAACCACCATTATTAGTATTCAGCTTCAAGGAGCCAGTTCTGGGTGGAGTCCAAAAAAGCCAAGGTCGAGGTGATTGTACCCACATCAATCTATATAAATATATTAAGCTGAAATGTGTACGTAAGAAGGCCTGAGGATGAGGGAAATGGAATCTAACAGTATTTTTTGCCTTTTTTTCATAGAAATTACAAGAATGCCACTCTCTCCTACCAATTCTCCCTCTCTCTCTCTCTTGCTTTTTTCCTTTCAAATTTACAAGAGTGTCACACACTCTCTCTCTCCTTATAAATTACAAGAATGTCACTCTCTCTCCAATTGAGGGAGACCTCAGCTCGGCATCTCAGCTGCTAGGGGCCTACAATCAAAGGTAGTCAAGCTTGAATTTCTGAGCTCAAGCTCAAGTCTTTAATTCAAATCGAGCTCGAGCTAGACAACACCTCAACCATTGAGGGAGACCTTGCCTCGGCACCTCGGTCATTGAGGGAGATCTCGGCTCAGCACCTTGACAACTGAGTGAGACCTTAGCTTGGCACCTTGTCAACTAAGGGAGACCTTAGCTTGAGACCTCGCCTGTTAGGGAAACCTCAACTCGACACTTTAACAGCTGAGGGAGACCTCGATTTGGCACCTCGGCAATTGAGAAAGACCTCAGCTTGGCACCTTGGTTGCTTAAAAGACCTACAATCAAAGGTAGTCGAATTCAAACTTTCAACTTTTTTACTTGAGCCGAGCTCGAGCTCGAACTCAAATCTCTAATTCGAATTAAGCTCGAACCCGATAATTTATGAACGAACCCCTACAACGTAGGGCCTCCTCCGCTAGTATTGATATTAAGAATCAATGCTCTTAAATGTTAGAACCTACAAAACCTACAAATTTGTTGATTTTATAGCTTTTTCTTTCCCTATTCCAAACAAATGGTCTATAGGTTTACATGATATCATATATACATGATATATACATGGTATGGATCTCTCCATTATCTAAATATTTTATTTATTGCATTTGTATGTATAGGTATTTATTCTTTTATACCTATTGTTTCTACATTTCCTTTTCCTTCCTTCGTGGACTTCATTCATAGATCTACATGTGGCAAATTGTTGACATGACTCCTACCTGCCCCATTTCAACACGTTTCCAACTTAGCCACCACAGGCCCCGTCTCAATCTTCTAATTAAACAAACAACCCATATGATCCATCCCATCCCTCCAACATGATCCAACCCGGGTTCTAGGCTGTGGTATCGGATCTGGACACTTACAGCCACGACCCGGGAATGTACCAGAAATCCCTCTGAGATCTAAACGGGTCAACGGGTCAGTTAATTTTTTCCTTAAGAACTAAGAAGACCCGTATGGAGGAAAGCGACGAAGAAAAGAAAGAAGGAAACATATTTGCTATTTCATCACTCCATCTAATAAAATCATCCAAGCAAAGCAATAAATATGTATAACCGTAAAAAGGGACAGAAGTCATGAGCGGGTTGTTGGGTTTCCCTCTTACATTAAATGCTGACCGACGCTCAACTAAAAGAGTCCTGATGATCTCCTAAACTTAACGCTGTGTTATGTGTTAAATTGTACACAAACCAATGAGAATTCAACAAAATTCAGGGGGTGGGTTTGATTATTCAATCATAATCACCCACTCTCACTTCTGATAGTCTTTGATCAATCAAAACCACCCCTGAATTTTGAATGAATTCTCATCGGTTTGTTTCTGTACAATTTAACACAAAGCTGTAAGTTTTAGTAAATCCGGACTCCAACTAAAACTGGGTCTCTCTCCCTCCCTTTCCTGAGATTCGTGTTCCACGTAGAGATGTCTGAAGTCTATATATATACATCCAGAATCGACCCAGAAGAGACACAACATTGAGAAAAGCAGCATATACATACAGAGAATATAGAGAAGAGTACAAAGAAGAGAATGGACGGGGAAGAGCAGACAATGAAGAGAAGAGAGTGTCATCCTCTACTCAGAGGAGGAAGGAGACAAGGCAGCTACAGTCATGGGTTTTCTTTATCTGAGATGCAAGTAGTCACTGCCATCTGTGAGGCTCTCATACCGCCTATCCCACTAGGTTCTCTCCATGTCAACGGCAAAGAAAGCCCACCCAGCAAAAGTATTCAGTCCTTCTACCTTGCTTCTGGCTCTCAGAAGCCTATCCCTGATGAGGTGACGGTTGTTGAACTTGTGGGTCTCTCTATTTTCTCTTCGCTTGGTTCATTACTGGAAGTGATTACTGATAAGCTTCTTTTGTGAGTTTTCTTCATATTATTTTGCCTGATAAAAGTTGGGTTTTGATTGTTGAAAAGCGTTTGGTTCTTAGTTTTGCGGGTCTTCTTAGTGATTTGCAATTCCAACTTAAATGGATTAACTAACCAATTAATTAAACCACGCTCTCTGGGCTGGTGCCTGGTGGGTTCTTATTAATAGACTGCACTGCTATAACAATCTGCTTTAAATGTTATCTGTTCTTTCCTTCTTAATTTTTCTGTAATTCTTCTTATTTTATATTTTAAATATATATTATATTGACTTTTGCAGTGTTCCAGTTCTGAAATATTACTTGGTGATTACAGGTTGCAGAGCTTATTGTCACGAAGGCATTATGGCATGGCGTTCTCGTAGTGCGACTGCTTCTGTGGATGCTCTCAACCAGATTGGGAACACTACTGATTTGTGGTACTCTAAGCTTTGGTTCCCGATGGCCATTCCTTTGCAAGTTCTCAGAACTATCCTTGGAGAAAAGAGAAGAGGTTCTGAAGAAATGGTCAAGGGCGAGGTATCAGATACACCTGAGACTAATGTTTGCCATGTTCAAAATCTTCTGTTGCTTCGCATTTTTCAGCCTGGTAAAGCTCCTCACCATTAAATCTCTCTTCCATCCAAAATTTCTTTGCTATTTCCAGTTATGTTGAGTCTTATTCTCAGAGAAGCATAGAGATTGTTCATTCAGTTTCTTTTATTTTTTTATTCTTATTGGGCTGGTTCAGGCTTTTGGAGGTGACCCAGAAATCCAGTAAAATAAATGCCCCATTTGAATTTCAAAAGATGATTTAGATCACGTTTCTTTCTTTCTATGTTTATTTAATTATTTATTTATTCCTTCACCCATAGACAATGTTTTATTTTTCCTAGAAAAGCTGTAGATGTATCAGTTTTTCTACAAAACCTGTAGGTTTTTTTCAAAGCCCTGAAAAAGACTCAGATCTCTCTCTAAAAACAAATCAAATGCATACATGTGCATATTTGTTTTTAAAACTTATAACTAGGAGCAATGTAAATGGATGTTGAACTGGCAGATCCTTTTATTTATTTTTGGAACTATAGAGAGTGAATTTCATGATCTCAAAAGTTGGATTCCTTTTGTTCCCTTTCTGTACCAGACTGATGAAAATTCAACAAACCCAGCATGGGATGCGATTGGGTATCATGTAGACACATATGAGAGCTCACACAAAACAGACAAGAAGAGGCCCCTCCAGAAAGGAATCATAGAAACAATGAATGAATCTGATTCAACTCTTGTCCAATCCCTCACCCAAAAAGGCTTCAAAGTCACTGAAGATCCAAAGAGGAACCTCCACAAAATTGAGTGTGATGTTGTGGTTGTTGGCTCTGGTTGTGGTGGGGGAGTAGCAGCTTCAGTCCTTGCGAGTTCTGGACAAAAAGTCATTGTCCTTGAGAAAGGCAATTACTTCGCGCCTGAAGATTATTCTTCTGTGGAGGGCCCCTCCTTGAACCAACTATACGAATCAGGAGGAATGCTATCAACTTTTGATGGGAAAGTGATGATAATGGCTGGATCTACAGTCGGTGGTGGTTCTGCTGTGAACTGGTCTGCATCCATCAAAACACCCAGTTCTGTGCTCAGGGAGTGGTTTGTTGGTCACAAGATTCCACTTTTTGGTAGCTCTGATTATCTCTCTGCCATGGATGTTGTGTTTAAAAGGAATGGTGTCACAGAAAACTGTGTCAAGGAAGGACTACAGAATCAAGTCCTTCAAAAAGGGTGTGAAAATCTCGGTCTGAAAGTTGAGTCTGTGCCACGGAATTCCTCGGAGAACCATTACTGTGGATCTTGTGGTTTTGGTTGTAGGAGAGGAGATAAACGAGGGACTGATACTACTTGGCTGGTAGATGCTGTAGATCATGGTGCTGTGATCTTAACAGGATGCTTAGCCAAGAGGTTCATGTTGGAAAAGAATAACCATGGTAGAACTAAAAAGAAGAAATGCTTGGGAGTGATGGCAAGAGCTTACAGTAAGAATATCACAAAGGAATTGCAAATTGAGGCAAAGGTAACAATCTCAGCATGTGGGTCTCTCTTGACACCTCCTTTAATGATATCTAGTGGGTTGAAAAATCCAAACATTGGCAAGAACCTGCGTCTCCATCCTGTTACAATGGCATGGGGATATTTCCCCGAGTCGATGCCAAAGCTTAAAGGGAAAGCATTTGAGGGGGGAATAATCACATCAATACATAAGGTGGTCACAGAAAAATCTGATGTTCAGGCCATCATTGAAACTCCTGCACTTGGGCCTGCTGCATTTGGCTCATTGGTCCCTTGGGTGTCAGGGCTTGACATGAAGAAGAGGATGGTAAAATATGCAAGGACTGCTCACTTGTTTGCACTGATCAGGGATCAGGGTTCAGGAGAAGTGAAATCCCGGGGAATGATAACATATGAATTTAGCAAGTCAGACAAGGAGAACCTTAAGGCAGGATTACAGCAAGCCTTGAGGATTTTGATTGCAGCAGGAGCTGTTGAAGTGGGCACTCATCGAAATGATGGGCAGAGAATAAAATGCAAAGGGATTAAGGAGGAAGATTTGGAGGAATTCTTGGAAACAGTTACTACAGCAGGAGGTTTTCTGTCAGGGGAAGAGAACTGGACCTTATATTCCTCTGCTCATCAGATGGGGAGTTGTAGGATGAGTTCTACTGAGAAAGAAGGTGCAGTTGATGAGAATGGAGAAAGTTGGGAAGCAGAAGGCCTATATGTATGTGATGGAAGTGTTTTGCCAAATGCAGTTGGGGTTAATCCCATGATCACAATCCAGTCCATCGCTTACTGCCTGTCAAAGAAGATTGCTAAATCATTGAACAAGGGCAAATTCTCTGAGGGCACATAATCTCCACTGCTTTCTATCTGTTACTTCCAATATATCTTTTATATATAAAAACCTTTGGTTGTCATTACTTACTATTACAAATGTAATTGAATAATTAAGAGGTCATATGATTCATGCTGATTGCTTTGCTTATTGATGCAATGTGATGTTCTATAGAAATGTGAACATAATTTTCAACTTTCAAGTCTAGGGGGCTTGTATCCCAGAAATGGAATGAATTTCCCTCTTCAGCCAATGCAAGAAAAGATAACCTTTAAAAAAAGTAACTTTCCTTAGCTTGCTTCACAAAAGAAACCAAAATTGAGGAAAAGTTAAAATAAAAACTGGGAGGTAAATTTTCCTTTTTCATCTCCTTTATTTTCTCACAAGAGAAATAGAAAGTAGAGGAAAACAGTGTAAAGTTAGGCAAAGCAAAATTGGCCACTCGCTCCTAAAAGAAAATCATCATATTATTTTGTTGTCTTTATCTATTTTCTCTGTTCTTTTTTTTTCTATTCTTTTCCTCCATTTTCTTCAAAATCGAATGTAGTAACTAACTACAGACTAATGACTGCCTACCTAATTAATTGTAAAATGGAATTGAGTTTAGTGTGAATAAATTGGCCCGGTTCTCACATTATTCTTGGAATTAAATGGCACCAGAGGAGAGCAGGAGAGAGGGGTGATTTCATAACCTTCATTTGTTGATTCTTCAACTGTGAGGGAATTTAATTGGAAAAAGAAGCAGCCCCCCCCCCAACTTGAAAATATCACTTGAAGATTGAAAGGAAAGGCCATAGAATACTAATAAAAATTCCAGGTACTACAAGGAGAAAACGACATGCTGAGACAAAAATAAAAAGAGAGAGAGAGATGTGAGTTTGTCCAAAGTTAGGTGCTTAAAGTGCTAAGATAATACTAAATAAAGAGCAAAGAAAAGGAAATTTTGGGTATTTAGTTTAATACAAAACGTCTACTGTCAATCTGAACTGGTTTTCTTAGCAAAGGTCGATATCGGCTGAAAGAGTCAAAGTCGTATTTTCTTCAAAACAAAATCCAACTTTTTCATTTTAAAAGTTTTCTGGTTTATCTTTATGGTTGTAAGTCTGTAAAATGCATTTGTAGATGACTCGACTAAAATATTTGTGAAAAGATGAATCGAAAAGATTTCTGGTATATCTTTTTTGATTCCCTGTTCCTCTATTCACCCTCTGTCCATGAATCGAAATTCAGCCCAGTAACACCGCCAGCTACAAATCAATGGGTAACTAACTGGGTAAGATTACATCAATCGAAAGAAAAAAGGGTGTCCAGCCAAAATGGGCCGAAAGTAAAGTTGAACATGATGATCTCATACCATGTTTCACGCTGCACTCTTTTGAATCGTGGAAGAATGTTTGAATAATCACCAAAAAAGAGTTCATTAAATAATCAGCTATAAGTTAAAAGGTTCCAGTAATTATGTTGACCTTTGTGTAGACAATCGTTGTAGTGAGAAGGACTAAAATGAAATAAAATTCTAGTGGGAAAAAAAGGTTGGGCTGTCAACATGGCTCTCCACGCCATGGTTCAAAGTATCAACATGCGCAATCAAGCAGTTCAAAGGGCCGATACTCTTTTTTTTGTCTGGTATTTCAACAATAAACATGTTATGGGGGTTTAGATATGAAAGAAATCCCTAAATTCCTGTAATATAGGGTTTTAGTGGGTTATGTATTTGGAACCTTGCTTGGGAAAATTTTGGCAAAGTGTTCAGTCCATAGGACTTCATTTGTGCAGACATGTTAGTATATGAAATTCATGTAACAATGATACTGTCAAAGGGGTGATTGTATGGACTAATGTATCATGTGGATAGAGCTCTGTAGAGAGCAGAGGCTGTCGAACGTGGACAGCCAAAGTTCTCTCAAATTCTTTGTACCAGTTGCTGGGTGAACTAATGTGTCACTGTGAATGTCATGCTGGAAAAAACTCTGTTGTTGGCACAACCTAGGCCATTGATGTTTAACACGGATAAACCAAGTTAATTGAAACAGGATGCATGATCTAAGATTGGTTTACCCAGTTGGATCAAGAAGCTTCTAACCCATTTAGCTTATTGATTGTGATAGAGAAGGGTATATTAATTGTATAGACTGAAAGCTCAGCCCCATTTATTATAACTAATAAGACATTCCTACCCACTTGAGGCAGTTAGTTATTAAAAGAGGTCATGTGTCCATATTCAACGCCTCAAGTTGAGGATGCTAAGACCTGGTAAGGATATTAAGATGTACCTAACAAAAAAATCAACAAGGCAGTGGCCAAGTGAAGTCATGAGAATGACATTCCAGCTCTATGTACTTGGAGTTTGGAGGCAGAAGCAAATCAGCCACCGACTGAAAGAAACATTCATTATGATCTCTTTTATTACCTTCCAACAATATAACCTGGTCAGCGGATCCTTAAAGGTCTCAGCCATAAAAAATTAACTTTTTCATTCTAATCATTATTTTTTTCTCAAAAACCAGAACCATAGTATAGTTTTACTTGCTTTGGGTTTCAAGCAAGGTTCCAAGGATCGATACATATTGGTGTGTATCATACATTACAATACATAATTATATATTGATTTTAATACTACCAGTTACGACATCACATCTTAGCGATGCCCTGACTCAACTATTGAAACTTAATAATAATAATAATGGTAAAATACAAAAACCTCCCCTTTATTTTTTTCACAAAATTAATTATCATTTTTTCAAAATTGTTCATCTTCTTCCGGGGTTCGAACCCAGAAGCAGAGGCAGCGGCGGAACAGTTTTCTTGAAGGAAGAGGAACAATCGTCAAGAACAGATTTTCCTTTGGTACCCAAAAAAGAATTTCGAATCTCGTGTATATTTACAGAATGTACAGCAAGGCTGTTCATTTATTTGTTGAATTTAAAATTCATAATATTCACGACCGCCCAGAACCCCCCAACGACCTTTCGAATGCCCAGAAGGCACAGTTGAGGACCCCCTTCAGGAGATTTGAGATCCAGGAAGCCCAAGCCTAAGCTCTGTGGCTTTCAAATTCAGACTGTTTTTATTTTCTTCCAGCTAAGCCAGAAATTGCACAACTGTCCACCGAAAAACAGTCAGATGATCCCATGTAATTACACTCTTTCAATCCTGAACAACAGTCAGATAATCCCATGTAATTACACTCTTTCAATCCTGAGCCATTCTGGCAGCTACCATCAATAGAGTGCGATGAAACAACTGAGACATTGCTGTCTCTCCCTAACACCGAGCAATGGTGGAGACATTAGGTTTCCAGAACTAAAAAGTTTTCCTCCCAAGCTGCTGGCATTCAAACCATCCTTCTTTAGATAAAACTTGAAATTCTCATAAAAGTTGAAGAAAGCCAAAAATTTAATCATTTCAAAACTGAAAATGAGACCTAACATCAAGTCGAATAATTAGATCTACGACTGCGGAGGCCGATAAAAACCAATCACAGATGCTGAAATATCCCACTTCTTTATAGGGCTGTCGATAGGTCACCGAGGGATTTTGGGCGTTCGTTAATATTATGAAATTTAAATTCAATAAATAAATAAGCAGTCTTGCTGTGCATTCTGTAAATTTACACGAGATTCAAAATTCTTTTTTGGGTATCAAACGAATTCATTCATTAAACTCGGAAAATCTATTCTTGACAATTGTTCCTCTTCCTTCAAGAAAACTGTTCTCAATTTCTTATAAATAGTAAAACAAAATATTCTTAACCTTTGTTTAATTAATAGTAAAATACACGGTTTCAATCCCTGTATTACAGTTTGAATGTTCTCTCTGACCCACCGCTGCCTCTGCTTCTGGGTTTAAACGGGAAAAAAGATGAACAGTATTTAAAAAGGGTAAAATAGGTATTTAAAAAATTGATAATCTCTTTAACGTTTTCCGTCTTGATCTGGAAGGGAGGTACTTGTTAATTTTTTAAAAAATAGAGAGAAGGTTTTTGTATTTTACCCTAATAATAATAATAATAATCACCATCATCATCTAAGAGTATCAACACCTTGAATCGTACAATATGCAATTGAGTATCGTATGTATTGATACTCTGAAATTCCCGCAGGGGGGAGGGGGTGAACACAATGATTCATTAATTTGACAATTTGTCCGTGTTTGCCACAGCACTATTCAAGATCTCTTACTTGAACCTCCATTGGAACCTCCGTTGAATCTTCTTACCACTCTTCCCTTTTGCCCAAACCCAAATTCGTATGTTCACTCACCCATACATGAAATTACATTTACAAGAAAAGAATCAAGTGTATGCTACAATATGTGGATTGAAGTTAACTTGCGGCTGCTTTAACTGCTTTCTCAGCTGCATCATCTAGATCTTCCGCAGTAATCAATGTCATCCCACTCTCCTATAGCATCCATTTGTGGTCAACAGCAATAAAAGAAACATTACTCTGATGGTTCTTTTTCATCTTCTAATGTTAGAAATAAATGCTAACTTGCTAAATTTCTAGTGATGATCAAATAAATTTGATGCCTAGTGGTGCAACGTTTCACATTTACCTTCAGAATTCTCTTCCCCTGGTCCACATTTGTGCCTTCAAGACGAACGACCACTGGTACTTTTAGAGCAACCTTCCAAACAAAACCAAACAAATGTTTATTACATCTGCAGCAAGTCAATAAATGACAGTTGAACAAACATATTTGTGATTACACCAAAAAGATGCTCAATGGGTTTTGGCCAAAACTCGAACTGACAGAATTTCATGTATATTTTTCAGCTTTTCCTGATACAAGTTCACACCAATATGGAAAATGGCAGCAAAATTTGGTACTCTTCCAACTAGATTATAATTTGAAGGTGCTAACTATTTTTAGAAACACTTGACATGAATACATAGAATACAGGTGCAGTAAATCACCTGTTTAGCAGCATTGACAATTCCACTTGCTATTACATCACATTTCATGATTCCTCCAAAAATGTTAACCAAGATTGCTTTCACTTTCTCATCAGATGTTAATATCTTAAATGCTTCCACCACCTGCACAGAATATTAGAGAAGATTAATATGAAAAATGAAACCTGACATAATTCTACAAGATCAATATGGAAGATACAAAGCCACTTTTTCTTTAGGATGTTGCATTGTGTTTCTTGGTGCTAACATGTAATTAAAAGATACTGATGAACCATTCAGGGGACTGAAAAATTATTGCAGCAATCACTTAAAGTGAAAAGCCAACTGCTTTCTTTCATTCACCTTGCTTTTTCTATATACTGTGGTAGAGTATAGACTTAAAAGTACACATAAATGCCTCATTTACACTAGCTTTCAAATAGATAATACATGATTACATGTATACTAAGTTTTATATGCACACTGTTTACTGCAGAAATCCCCCCTCCGGTTTAAATTAAGCTGTTAAGGCAAGGCTTTCCTTTTTGTTTTACTCTTCTAATCAGCATCAATAATGTTTATATAAAAGAAGAAAAAATGAAAGAACAAATACAGTTCTAACCCAATAATGAAGGGAACCAAACAATAATTTTTGGTTGGTCACACAGAATGACTCCAAAAAATGGACGTACTGTTGCAGAACTGCAAACTTTCCGTGGTTTGGCCAGAGGGTCTCACATGACCCCTCAAGTCCCCTATTATGTCTGCTATGTGATGTCACAAAAAAAAATATATTCTTTTGATTAAAAAGGTTCCAAAAGAGGTGCTTTACAGCTCATCTGCTGGTGTTGTAGAGTTGTTAGCAGGAAAGAGCAAATTTGACTGCTACAATAAGAACAGAGGCCAAATGAAAATCATGGTAAAGCAAGACTATAATGTACAATTAGCAAGCCAAAATGCAACCCATTACCTGGCCTTCTGAGGCATTCCCACCAACATCTAAGAAATTGGCAGGTGTTCCACCATGCAATTTAATTATATCCATTGTAGCCATTGCTAATCCTGCACCATTCACCATACAACCAATTTCCCCATCTAAACCAATATAATTCAGACCTGCTTTAGATGCAGCAACCTGTCAATAAATTTAACACTAGTGTAAGAAACAAAAGGAGAAAACTGTATAAATAATCTAGATTCGTTTCTATTGTCTTTAGATTTTTCTCTAGGTGTCAGAGTAAAGGTCTTCCTGACTTCCTTTGTGCAAATGGCTCAACATAAGAGAAAAGAACCAAGCTCAAGACTCATCATACAATATACAGAAACAAAACCATATAATACACACACATGCATACATGTGCAAACGCATGCACATACATATTAAAACTTTAACTATGCATAATAACTATTTTCTTCATCTTGATTTACATTTAGTAAATAAAGAGAGCTAATGACCCTCCCTCCCTCTATGTTCTCCCTTTCAGTTTCATAAACAAAAAGCCTCTTCTGCTGAACATGCTCTCCAGGATGCCCTTCTGACATCCTGGACGTACATATGACATCAGCAGACAATGACCACAACTGCAAGTAAAAACCCTAAATCTGGTAGGAATTGTTTTTTGTTGTCTTTTTCTGATCATTTGACTCATGTTGATTGAAGTTTAAGGTTCTTTTTCGGAAAAAAAAAAAGATTGGCAGAAATTCAGAAAAATTCATGTGTGGTTGTTTGATTCATATGATGTAACATGAAGTAGTTGGTGAATAGGACCACTTACACAGTTACAGTACTGTATGACATTTGTTGATCAATGAATCAAGTCTTAAATTTTTGTGGAGGTCAGGTTTTCAGGTGAAATTTCTTCTATGCCACTTCTGCTGCCGCTGTTTTTCAGCTTTCTAGCTGTTTCGTAATGACCAAACCTTAGGAACACCATAAGAGTATGAGCTGAGCAGTTCAGAAAGGTTGTGATTATCTTGCTTGATTGTTGTTGATAGTTTGGATGTATTTCTCTTCTGTCAGACATGCTGTCCCCTTCCTAACAATGTACAAGTTGACTGTTGAGGAAAGATTTCTTGTAAAAGCCTGTGTTAGGTTAATTTATATCTGAGAGATGTCAACTGATCAAGATTTCAGATCTCAGGGTTATGGAAATAGCCCAAATATTTAGATCACCACAATAGATATAGAAGAAGCCATTTTCTTAGAGTGGTCTCAATTTGGTAGTCTCTACATTGGTGTTAAAGGGAATTTAGGTTTGATAAGTAGCATAAGTCTTAAGGATCCCTCTTATTCTAAGGAAGGTTCAAAATATCGGTATTGAGTATTGCATTGGTAAACTTGCATATAGAAATAGATATGGATACACTTTGGAAATGCATGGATACAGTGGAAAGATGTGGATACACTTGGATACATTAGGAAAACTCCTATAAATCCCACAAATACATTAATAATGCTAAATTTATGGTTGAAATAACCACAAATGGGGCTATTTTAATGTACATATGAACTATGAAGAAATACATTACAACTGAGCCCAGTACAGACTGTACTGTTGAACCCTATTTACCCCTGGCTTAGCTAAATAATCAGCCATTACATTAGCCTCTATCCCAACCCATTGTATTCTCAGATTCAAAGCAAGATATGGAGTCAATTCTTTTTTTGTCCTATTCTCTCTCTCTAGATTAACTAGAAAAGTCACTATCATCATCATCTAAGCCTTGCCCCAACTATTCAGTGCCATCATGGTAGCTAGGTCAAGTGCTAAAGATAAGAACAAGGCTGTGGAGCAAGGAGTTTATTACTGTAGCTGAAAACACCCCTGTGAGTTTTACAAATATTGTTTGACAGTCCACATTGCAAAGCGGGTTAGCATTTTATTAGAAAGTCAGTGATGGAAAAGTTTTTTTATCTTCTATAAAGACTAAAAATCAGTTACCTTCTTAATAGCCAAAGCTTGTGAATAATCTATGCAGGATAGATATGCTCAAGGGAGAGTGTTGATATTATTATGACTCAGAGGTACCTGCGTCAGTTTAATCAATTCTTGGCTCCATAAAACCCAATTCTTTCTCTCTTCTCTACTATCATCTCTATCTCTTTGGTTCTTTCTCCTTATCCAGGGTCTAAGGAGGGGTAAACTGGATACAGACAAATAATTAATTATATACAGCATTTGACTTGATAAAAGTTGCAGATATATATTTTACCAAGCCCATGGGGTTATTTATTGCTCCTTTGCATACCATGTTGCATGGACTCTCCTAAATGGATGTGTCTGTGTGGGACACAAATTGGAGTCTAACAATCCATAGATTCATGAGGACACTTCTACATGACATTTCCTTTTTATCTCCATGCTTAATTGATAAAAATGAATAACTAATGTAGAAGATGAAAGTCATGTTTCATATCAAATGTTACTTGGTAATCAAGGCGACATTTTAGACCCCTTCATACAGGTAATCTAATGTCAGAATTCAAAAAATCCTAATGTATATACTTTTCCACAGACGTGTCTGCAAATCCATGTTTTCTTATCTTGCCAAGTCAGACTAGTGGATATATGCATCAGATTCCAACCCCCCTGTCCATGTCTATGCAACAATGTTGCATGGTCATGATAATAGAGGTAGCCATGAATGCCACTAAACATCATGATCAGAAAAAAAAAATAAATAGCTAATAAATAAAGAAAAAGTAAGAATTTCCAAGGGTCCTCTTTTGCATATCCATGGCATCACAATGGACACGAATGATGAGCTTCACAGACATAGATTAACAGAAACTATAAATAAAGAAAAGTAAGAACCTCCCGAGGGTCCTCCTGGGATGAATCACGGAGAGAAAATATCTCCTTCTGGCGGTAAGCAGCATTATCATCAAAGTTCAACTTTGCATCAGCAGCCACCAATTGGTTATCAGATGTTTCCGCAATGGGATTGATCTGTTAAGCAAATATTACACAGAAATGGATCAATTATTGAAAAAAAGGCACAAAAGATGCTGTGAGTTGAAAGGGAATAAATTTGGAAAAGGTATGGACAAACAAAACATTCTTTTTTCCCACCTCCAACAATGTGCAGTCACACTCACAGAAAAGTTTGTAGAGCTTTTTCACTTGTTCTATTGATGCATTTCTATCTGCCACTTTAGTAGCCAAACCATCTACAACTTTAGCAGCATCTTCATCTGTGATTCCTTTAAAAACATCAATAGGCACCTGGTTGAAAACATAAGGTAAATTCAGCAACATAAATTTGGAAAAGGTATTGTCAATCATTATACGAAGATGAGATACATAACCTTAAGAATCATGTCAGGGAATTTCTCTGCAAGATCTTCAATACTGGTTCCTCCCTTCCTACAGGCAATTATGAGCTGGAGAATGGACATGAAGATAAGCACCAGTCAAATATCATAGACCACCACTATTATTATCAATATCAGTCATTTCATTACTAATAAATATAAATATATAATAAAGGGTCAGAAAATCATTTTTGATAAATAAAAGTGGTTATTATTAACAAAAGGTGCCAAGAGCAGACAAATTCAGCAATATAATGCAACAAAATATGATCTCATGAGCTAAAGGATGAGAAAGCATGGTCTCCACAATTCAATGGTCCAATTTATGAGTATCAAAAAGGCAGAAACTATGCATTCGGATCTTTTTTTTAATGAAAATGTGGACTCTATGCCATATGTGCATTTTCTTACCTTTTTTTCTTTTTTTAGGGTGTACCCATTATCTAGTGTTAGTGTTCGGTCTGCCTGTTAGACTGATAACAGTCAAGGAAGAGAGAGAGAAGAGAAAAGGAGAGAAAGAGAGAAAGGAGAAGAGCAGAAGAGAAACAAGGAGAAAAGATTCTGGTTCGAATGAGAGAAAAAGTTCACTCTCCCATTCGGCTAGATGTATGTGGAAAAGTCACATATGCCCCTACTTAAGTTAGGGACATTAAATCTAACATAAACTTACACATCAGCACCTAAACACAAGCACAAAGACAAAATTACCCCTACATACTCGACACTAACACTCCCCCTCAAGCTGGAGAGTATATATCATATAATCCCAGCTTGTTACATATGTAATCCACTCTCCCCCGACTCAACCCTTTAGTAAACAAATATGCCCACTGGTTCCCTGTGTTGACATATGCAGTGTCTATCACTCCACTCAGCACCTTCTCTCTAACAAAGTGACAGTCAACCTCTATGTGTTTGGTTCTCTCATGAAACAACGGATTAGAGGAAATGTGAATTACAGTCTGATTGTCACAGTAGAGCTTCATTGGAGCATCAACAGTGTATCCCATCTCCTGTAAAAGGTTCCTTAGCCACACTAATTCACAAGTAGTATGTGCCATAGCTCTATATTCTGCCTCTGCACTGCTTCTTGCCACAACTGTCTACTTCTTGCTTTTCCATGTCACCAGATTACACCCAAGAAAAGTGTAATAGCCTGTGGTAGATCTCCTATCAGATACAAAACCAGCCCAGTCAACATCAGTATATCCTTATATTTCAAGTTTTCCACCACTTTTGTACATCATACCGCGACCAGGAGCCCCCTTTAAATACCTCACAATCCTTATAACCGCATTCCAATGTGGAACCAAAGGTTTCTGCATGAACTGACTTACCACACTAACTGCGAATGAAATGTCTGGCCGAGTGATGGTTAGGTAATTCAGTTTACCTACCAGCCGCCGGTATCTGCCAGAGTCTTCAAACACTGCACCCATATCACTGCTCAGCTTAGTGTTTGTTTCCATAGGAGTTCTAGCTGGTTTAGCACCTAAAAAACATGTTTCTTCAAGCAAATCAAAGGCATATTTTCTCTTACACAAGTTAATACCATGCTTGGACCTTGCTACTTCTATCCCCAAGAAACACTTCAATTTACCAAAGTCCTTTGTCTGAAAATGATCCTGCAGAAAGATCTTCAACCTATCAATGCCCATTTTATCATTCCCGATAATGACAATATCATCTACATACACCACTAATAGGATATTCCCTACCTAAGAGTCATGACTGAAGACGGAATGGTCAACTTGGAACTGTTTCATACCAACTTCTTTACTACCTCACTAAATCTGCCAAACCATGCTCGAGGAGTCTATTTAAGCCCATAAATGGCCTTTGGTAGCCGACACACCTTACCATCCTCCCCCTTAGCAATAAACCCCAGTGGTTGCTCCATATAGACCTCCTCGAGTAGATCACCATGCAAGAAGGCATTCTTGATATCAAGTTGATAGAGGGCCCAATTATACATCGCAACAAGAGAAACCACAACATGGACTGAACCAATCTTAGCAACCGGGGAGAAAGACTTTGTGTAATCAATACCATAGGTTTGGGAATACCCTTTGGCAACCAATCTAGCTTTCAACCGCTCTACACTACCATCAGGTAAGTACTTAACCGTATAAACCCACTTACAGCCAACAACCTACTTATYAGGAGGAAGAGTGGTGAGTTCCCATGTATGATTTTGAGCCAGAGCTGAGAATTATTCTTCCATCGCACGGCACCATCCTGGAAAGGCAAGGGCTTCATGGACATCCTTAGGTATAACAACAGAGGATAACAAAGAGATAAACTGGCGATGGGAAGTGGAAAAATGAGTCAGTGAAACATAATTAGAAATAGGATGAAGGGTACAACTGTGCTTACCTTTCCGCAAGGCAATGGGAAGATCAAGATCAGATACTGGGGTCGGGGCTGGTGTGGTAATAGCTGCCAGATCTGTTGACGATGATGAAGCTGGAGGAGGTGCCAGTACATGTGAGCGATGTGTATACACATGATGGATCGGTGGTCGTTCAACAGGTGGTGGCACCGGAGGCAAAAACTTGGTCACTACGGGAACAAGAGGAAGGGAGTCCACAACTGGAAGAGGAAGGGGAGGAGGTGATGAGGAGGAAGAAACATCACCGGACCCCAAGAAGAATGGAGTAGACTCAAAGAAAGTAACATCAGCACATACATGGGAATGTCGAGAGCTAGGGTGATAACACTTATACCCTTTCTGAGTCCGGGAATAGATAAAGGAAGATGCACTTAATACACTGTGCATCTAACTTGTCCATTCCTGGCCCCAAATTATGAAYAAAACAAACACATCCAAAAACTCGAGGAGAGAGAGGAAACGGAGACAAGGTAGGAAATAATGTGGTGAATGGGAAATGACCATCAAGGATAGACGTGGGCATCCAATTAACCAAGAAGCAGGAAGTAAGCACTACATCACTCCAAAAGGATTTGGGAACATTCATGTGATGCATGTGGGGTGTAGGTACATGAAGTCTGATGGATAATGCCATGTTGGTCTAGGTAGTCCTGAAATGATGAAGAGAGATATTCACAGCCCTTATCAGAATGAAAAATTTTAATGTGAACACCAAATTGGTTGCTAATCTCAGCATAAAACTTTTGGAAAATGGTAAACAATTCACTTCTTTCTTTCATTAAATAGAGCCACGTCATCCTTGAATAATCATAAACAAAAATGACAATATTTATATCCATTGTATGTCCACTTTATAAGGACCCCAAACATCTGAATGAACCAAAGAAAAAGGACTCAATACACGATTATCAACTCTAGGACTAAAGGGAACACGATGATGTTTCCCTAACTGACACGACTCACAATCCAAAATAGAAAGATGACACAATGAAGGAACCAAAGACATCAAAACTTTCAATGAAGGATGACCAAATCGGCAGTGCCACTAGAGAGGAGAGAGAGACGATTTGAGAGCTATTGACGTACTTCCACCACCATCAAGATAATACAATCCACCAGCTTCATGCCCTCCACCAATCTTCACCCCTGTCTTGAGATCCTGAAAAACACACGAAGAGGGGTAAAAGGTAATGGAGCAATTAAGAAACTTGGTCAACTTACTAGTAGACATAAGATTAAAAGGAAATTTAGGGACATACAAAACTGAGGATAGGGATACAGGGTCCAGGTCAACATTACCAACACCACAAATGGAGGATGTGGAACCATTAGCAAGGGTAACAGATTGTGATGTTGAAGAATGAGAGGGAAGAAAACACACTTGGAGTTCCAATCATGTGATCGGAGGCTTTAGAATCAATAATCCAAGGATGGGGTGTGGATGCCAGACAAGCCATACCTGAATGTGCGAGAGTGGTCGTGTTCTGCTGAAATGTGGCATGTACTAACCTCTCATACTCATCACGGGGAATACTCATCATCTCCTTCCCAGCAACATTTGTGGATGTAGAAGGTACATGATCGGCTAAATGGCTCTCCTGTCCGAAGCTACTATCACTGGTCACGGCATGATTGGCCCAAGTTGAAGGTGGACCATGCAAGTCATTGCAATAATTGATGGTATGTCCATCCATACCACAGTGTGTACACCTCCTTGGACCCAAACTACGTCCTCTGCCACGGGCTCCCCCTGAATCTCGACCTCTAGTACGACCACCACCACGGTTATATGTAGGTCCACTACGGCCAAACTGAGCTTCCCGAGCTCCACCTCTAACACCATGGCCTCTAGATACTGCTAGGGCTGATCTATCGGAAATATTAGGGTTCTCAATAGATCCAATGGAAATCCTCCTGAGTCGAGCAAACACCTCTTCTAAGGAAGGGAGAGCTGACCCTCCTAGTATCTRAGCCCGCACTGRTTCATATTCAGATTTCAGCCCCACCAAAAACCGAGTCACATCAAGTTGTTCTCTCTGTTGTTGCTAAATTTTGACATCAAAAGTGAGGGGGTGATAAACATTCAATTCGATACGAATGTTTCTCATACTAGCATAGTACTCCTCAAGACTCTGATTACCCTGTTGTAGATTTAAGTATTCCTGGTACAACTAATATACTCTGGTTGTGTTATCTTGACCCAAATACAGCTTCTTAGCATGATCCCACACTTCTTTGGCAGTATCAAGGAACATGAGATTTACACTAACCTTGGGTTCCATACTATTCCATAACCATGTGATGATCTGTGCATCTGCCTACTCCCAATCATCATACTCAGGAGAATCGGTGGAAGGTTTTTCATCCCTTATGTGCTTCACCTTCTTCTTTGCCTTAATAAAGACTTCTACAGATTTGGCCCAAGGTACATAATTTTCTCCATTCAGCTTAATGGAGGTCATTTGAACATTCAGGTAATCAGTAGGGACCATCACACTAGTCTTGCTATCATTGTTGTCTCCCATTGTTGAATTCTGATATTGCTGAATTCGGCAAACTGCACACTAGATCACACTACACCCTGATTTCAGCACACTTACTACTGCTGCAAATTGCACTCTTTACACCACAAACCCAACTCCACGACTGCCTGAAACTTCCCAACACTGTTTAAGGA